AGACACTTGGCAAAAAATTGCTTAAAAACCTGAGAAACGGTTTTACATGGAGAGGCTCTTGAGACTCTCATCTGTCTTTCTCCTCATTTTGTCTACAATAAATGTTTATTTATTATTTATTTAATCTGAGAGACCCATTAAAAACTCACCGTTATTGATGGTCTTAGTCTTTTTTAATGAATTGCAGTTGAACACACAAAAAACCGAGTTTGTCATAATTTTTTTTTGTCGTGCAACTTGTTTTATTAAATCAAAGAAACAATCCAATTAGAAAATAAAAACAAAACTCATTACAGAGTAGAAAACACCTCGCACAAGAGAAAACTAATTGATTCCGTAACCGAAATCATAACATAATAAAGGGTGGGACTGATCCTGTATATAATCTGGTACTGCCATTGTCCACCTTTCGCCTTTATGGAGATTGATTGCCTCCTGTTTCCACTTGCTTTGTGTGATTTTGAATGGCTCTTATGGAACCTGTGGAAAACTCGGAACCAACTGTTATTTGAAGACCGTCGTACCTCCGCGGATGAGGTGATGTTGCGACCTCTGAAAAAGGCCAGAGCATGGCAAGAGGCACATGTTTGTGTAGATAAAACTAGGCCAATCATGGTGCCTTATCGAGCTCTGTCTCTACCACCACAGGCTGTCTTTTGTTTTTTCTGATGCTTCCTGGATTGCTGCTACTCGTGAATGCGGTTTAGGTTGGTGCTTCAAAGACGTAAGCCTAAGGATCATAAACCAAGCATCGATATCAAGGAGTAATGTGGCTTCGGCCTTGGTTGGAGAAATTTTAGCTTTGAAAGCTGCCTTAATTGTAGCTAGAACTGCGAGTATCTGAATACTCAACGTATTCTCGGACTCTCTCTCGCTTGTTACACTAGTCAACAAGATTAGTGTTATCAACGAGTTGAAATCGATCCTTTATGATATTCATTGTCTTAAGGAGGGTTTCACTACTATCCTTTTCGCTTTTATTCCTCGCTCGGAAAATGTTTTAACCGACGCGTTAGCTAAATTATGTATTGTATCTTTGGACGATTACTCCTAGTTTGGAGTACAAAAATATAATACAAATCGGTTTG